TATAGATTTACCTAAGCTTTATAACTTAAATTTTTATGTTGATGCTAGTAGCTCATACGCTACTTTGATACTTCATTGTTTAAATCATTAGGATCAATGCCTTATCCTCATAGTATCTACTTCGTTATCAACTCCTTGAAATATACTTTAGATTCTCCAACATGCTCTCATCTCATCATTGTAGGAAAATTCTACTACCACTCCTTCGTCACCTTAAACGCATTAGGGTGAACGCACTTCATATAACTGATTTTCTGGTGGACTTGAAACCTTACTTATAAACGAAAAATATTACTACAAACTCAAGGATTTATTTTCAACAATCCTCTGCTTTATACTAGAACGATTTTTTGATCTTGCTTAAATTTTTTTGCTTACTATTTACTAAACGACGAGTACAGAATGCCTAATGAAGCGAAAGATTTTGGTAACAAAACATTGACTATTTAAGCCAAATCTTATGCTGTTAGAAGATTACTATTTCTCCCTTATATGTATAGTTGGTTCGGATTTGGTAGAAAGTGTCTAGATTTTCTGCCAATTTGACACAACATTTTCATTTTGCAATATATTTAGCACCGGGAAGCTTGATTCAAAAAGTTTGAGAATTAGCTATGATCTTCATATATTTCCTTTACCTTGTATTATCCAGTCTCGCTTCGACTACTAGCGGTCCTTCAACTTATTTTAGCAGCCAGTGGTCGCAACTCGGCTCCCGTCCTATGTCGAGTGAGGCTCGCCTTTTAATACATGCTCATCGGCACCTTTATCTGGTCGCATCGGGCGCTTCTGCAAGCCTTCTTTTGCCCCATGATGTTTCTGAAGGGGTTATCAGCCCCCCATCTGAGATTGATTCGCCAGGAGCTAACAGGGATGTGGATCAGCTCTTCTCAATTGATAAAAGTTCGGTTGGCATTGTAGCGGGCCCTAGTCTACTTGCCCATACTTGCCAGCCTTTACTGGCCCCTTTCGATTTTGCTCTCAGCTTCACTCGTGTATTCTGCCCTGAATTGTGGTAATTGCAGCTCAGATATATTTTGACTTCTTATCTATTTTATTGAAATCATTATTTATATTCATTAAGCAAATTTTCAGATATTTCTTACCTCTGCTTGAGGGCTCTGAGCTTCCAGGCAATTGGGAAAGGAAATTTTATTCCTTCTGTTGATTAACATGGATCTACTTCAGCATAATTGCAAGTGGTGTGCTTAAGTAATTGCTGATTAAATATTTTTATCAAAGGTATGAAGATCAAGATAGTGTGGCCTTTTGTGTGGTCGCAGACTCCTTTCGTTGTATAAAGGTTGTTTAAGCAACTTGGTCATATTAGTAGGAAGACTTAGAGAAACGCATCTAGTCCAGAGTCCATTGTATGCATGATCATTTCCAAATTCGAACCGTGGACGTGGTATATTCCCAGACGTTTCGCCGGCATCGTAGTCGGCATCGTCAGTGAGTCTCGCCCTTCTTAGCACCACATAAAAACTCGTCAAAGAGACAAATGAAGCCGATCCTTTGACCAAACGTGTGCAAAACAGTTTTGGTATCTCACCTTCTACCCTGGGCTATTCACATTTCCTATATCCTCCTATTACGCCTTATTTAGATGTAGTGTCGTGTGCTCCTTTGAGCGGCATTCATGAAAACCCTTCACACTCCACGCTGTTGTTCTCATCTCCTTCACCCTTGTGCTGGAAATGTTGATCAGAGTCTGCCATATTGTTACACAGTCCTCTAGGTCTTATCACCGTCTCTTGCCCCGTAAGCTCCGTCTCCTATATTCCTGGTTCACTCCTCCCCTGCCACCCTATCTGTGCTGCTCGAGGCGTTATTCTTCCTCCCTTGCGTCTGAGTGACTAATTTTGTGTAAAGCCTCTGAACCTAATCAAAACAAGCAGTACCACAACATTTGTGAGTTGGCACTCAAGAGACAAGGGCATGGAAAGTCATAGGCTTGGTGTTAGGGATAGAAACAGGATAGACGCGGCGGAGACTGGATCTAGTTGGTTGACAGTAGGTTTTACCAGAGACATGGTCCGTGTAGCAAAGGCGTGATTATGAGACTTGCTCAGAGGCTTTAGCCTCGAATTAGTCACCCGGACTCAGAGCAGGGCAAATAACGCCTCGAGTAGTACAGATGGAATGGAAGGGGTGGAGTGAAATACGTGAACCCGGTATATAGTAGACGGATCTTACAAAGCTTGAGAGGCTGTGATAAGGCTTAGGGAAGGAGGACTGCGTAACAATATGGCAGATTCTGATCAACATTCCCAGAACAAGGGTGAAGGGGGTGAGAGGGACAGCGTGGGGTGTAAATGGTTTTCATGAATGCCGCTCAAAGGAGCACGCGACACTACATCTAAATGAGCATGGTATAAGTAGTAACAGTAAAGGTGTGATAGGAGGATATAGGAAATGTGAATAGCTCAGGGCAGACGGGGAGATACCACAACTATTTAGCACATGTTTGGTCAAAGGATCGGCAAGTTTCTGTATGGTGCTAATAATGACGAGACTCACTGACGATGCCGACTACGATGCTGGCGAAACGTCTGGTAATGTACCATGTTCACCTTCCGACTTTGGAAATGATCAGGCATACAATGGACCCTGGACTAGGTGCGTTTCTTTAAGTCTTCCTACTAATTTGACCAGGTTGCGGAAACAAGGTCAAACAACCTCTAAGTATTTTTATATTCCTTTTTATTTTTAATCCATTGCATTTGACATTCACAGTTTCAGGGAGCATAGGGAATAAGTGACTAGCTGGGACAATTATTGAAAAAATTTAAATCGATCTACTACGCAAGGCAGGAAAATTACTCTATAAAGGCATTTGCGATAGAAGAGATGGACCATAACTTCTTATCGGTTGTTTATAGGGCGAATAAGTTTAGCTCACTTCACTATATCCAGTGTATGAAGCCTGGTGAGTTAACTTTACCTTCTATCATACCTTAGTAATTTGCATCCTGGAGCGCGTGCAGTATCAGTAATAAATACAAGTTTTGATGCCATGGCAGTGGGGATAGGAAGTTTTATTTGATAATTTCTTATAATGTAGCTTTACTTGCTGTTGGTGTTGATCTTGGCCAGGCCGACTTTTTTTAAGGTATTGCCTTAAGGTTTCTTTCTATTATCATTTAAAACATGAAATTTTCGACATCAAACCTTTTACACCCATTGAGGCCAGTTCTTTGTGAGAATTTTCACGGGATCCTCTACCTTTCAAGGCTTTCCGCTTTTGTAATTTTTCCTCGTTTACTTGTGTTTTAATCTGAGAACTCAAACTTTTTTTAGTTTTTAATTCTAATTCTAATAATAATTATTATTATATCACCTCTTTTGAATGTTAAAATTATCCTGTGGTTATCAAACATTCTTTTCATTTTTTCGCCGTCATTCCATATCTGACTTGCCTCACTGTCACGTAGGCCCAAAAGCTTGTCTGCCTCTCTGGCTTTACAAGAGTGGCGTCTATTGGTGCGTGATGAGCTTTCAATCACAATGACTCATGCTTCTTTGCAACTCACTATACTACTCGTAACTGCCGCAGTCCATAGAATTTCGAGACTTACCCTGATGTCTTTCTACTCTGGTCTGTATACATGCAATGAAGAAAGTAGAGGAGCTGTCGGAAAACAGCAGCTCGGTTGCATCAGCAGAATCGGGTGTAAAAGACCCGCAGGTGCCACTGACCCTAGAACAGGAAATCGGCAGCAACAGCATTTGTCCTACGACTGTCGTGTCCTCCTGCCGCCCTCAGCTTGCTTCGGTCATAAGACATACTGCTACTTTAGTCTGCATAGCTCGCCTCTCTGGTCTTCTGCTGCAGAGGGTATGTTCTTGTACTATTTAGTAAAACAGATTACCTTAATCGTACACTAATATAGACCTGTTTATTTCTATTGAGTCTCGAACTTGCATTAATAGACCAGACTCAGATCATTTGATATATGCTTATTTGGTAGTTGTATTGGTTCTTCAATACATTTTCAATATCAAATTAAGGCAATTTGATAAGTTGTAAATCTGTGCTGAGGATGGTGCCTCCCTTTGACGATCCCGAGTGTAATTAAGGCAAAACTTCTACGGTCGATGCCACAGGTTATCATGAATACTATTACAGAGAACGTGGGACTATCTATGCTCGACAAGGTCTATCTGTAGCCCCGACCAAGTTTTGAAAACGATTTTATTCTTTGCCTGAGCAACTGATACTTATGTAACAATCTGTTACAAAATTAAAGAGGCATTTTTTTAGATATTTATGTCACTTATTTGATAATAGTCGCAATTCACAACTGCTGCTTGCTTGTGTTTTTCTAAAAAAATTATTTTATGCTTGTATTTCATAATTTTCCTGTTTTAGTGTATCACATTTAAGATATCACATTTAACAATACTCGACAAAGAATCCATATATTGATGTGAAGACTTTCATTTTGTATGTATATGATAAGGAGTTTCGTTAGTAAATCTTACCAGAAGACACAATGATTCGCGTTGTGCTGCAGCCGTTTGGCATTTTTATGACATCCAGGTTGACGCAGTCCACGAGACATCCTCCAAGGTTTCAGAAGAAGACGGGCTAAGCTTTCGTTCGTCATGGGACAAATATAGTCAGTGCTAGGCTCCTTGTAAAAGTTTGAAGTTAACACTAAGTCAAGAAGATTGATCGGATTTTTTCTATATGATATATACACTGATTGCGAGCAAAATTTAGGATATGAATGGATATAGAAAGGTCTGATTTATTCACGTATATTCGAGTGTGTCTGTGTGTATATGTCTGTACGCAAAACCAGTCATACTTCAGAGTAATTCGAAAAAAGCCTAACGTCGGCCCCGGGTCATCGAAGCTTAATTACCCAGGAAAAAAGGCAAAAAAAGGATGAGCGAGAGTGTTGATCCCCTGCCCAAAAGAAGACGACTCAACCTGTCAGCGGTGTTATGATTCTAACCAAATTCACTTTCGTTCAACAGGCCTGTCAAGCTCATCAGCCAAAACAGACGTGCTGGGCTACTGAATCCAAACCAAGCTTCTCCATGGGTCATTAAACCATAATAGCTCAGACTTACGGCTTCGGACTGGTGGTTTCGTAACCTGACTTTTACGCTTACTTATTTACATCTCATCAGTTTAAGCAGGTTTACTCACGTACTAACGCAATCTTGGTCATCCTTCTTCCCTTTTTTCCTTGAGTCACTAAGCCCTAATAACCTGTGGCTGGCGTTGAGATTTTTCTAATTACTCTAGGTTATAAACGGTTTTTAGTACATACGTTGACACACATATGGACGGGCATACTCGAGTTTACGTGAATTAACCAAACCTTTCTAAATCCATCTATATCTTAAATTTTGCTTTTAATGAACATATATCATATAGAAAAAGCCGTTCAGTTTTATTGGTTTTATGTTAAATTGAAGCTTTTGCAAGAATGACTCCTAG